CCAGCTTGTAGAGAAAAGTAGTTTATTAGTGATTTCTTACGGAGCTGTGGATAACTGCTGACAGCTGCAACACCCTGCCTACGGAGTTCCTATTTTATGTGGCTCCAGTCTACGGCAGAACCGATGCAAACCTGGGCCTAGGGCACTACCTGATTGTTAAGGCAGCGAAAGTAACTACAGGCTCGACATAAAGACACAGACAAAACCAGACCCTAGGAAGTTGTGTGTTTATGTCCACTCTGTCCTCGCTCTTATCAGGGATTCTGCTGGACTCAGCAAATACTGTCCGACTGTGAGAAAGGAGGCTTTGTTTTGCTGCAGTCTGGCACGTAGAATAGCTAAATGGAAACTTGCTACAAGATGGAGTTACTCTGTGTGTGATTCACTACCTCACAGGGTTACTGAGGAAGTCAGTGGAATGGAAGAAAGGATTTATTGGTTCACAACCTGAATGCTTACTTCAGGCATAGCTGGATCCAGCCACTGTATAGTAGTAACAATCTGTTGATGCTGCGGGTGCTCAGGATTGGCTTTGTTTAAGAGCATCCAGAGGAAAGGGCTCACTCTCGTTGGCTGCTGGGGTCACATGCCCACCCCTCCTAACCAATGAAAGGAGCCAAGGCTAGCCTAGGCTTGGTCCCTGTTCCCTTTTCCTTGCTTTGAGCTAAGGTAGGGGAGAGGTTCTGTGAAGGATACTAGGGTCTCATCTCCAAAAGGGGGTTAACCTAATCACCCGTCTGGTTCAGGGCAGCATCTGTCAGATGACCAGGTTCAAATTTTGGTATGTGGCCTTGTGCAAATGACTGCCATTTGGGCCTCGGCTGCGTCCTCTACATTCAATTCTGAGAATTAAATGTGTGACATTTACAGTAGCCTCAAGTACACAGTAAACTCATAAAGTGTGCTTGCTGTTATTCACGTGGGTCTCTTACATACCAGGCATACACTAGGCACTTAACAGGCCCCAGTGGACTCAAGTCAGCAGCTGTCGTGAATCAGGGTAAATGTAGGACACTGGGGTAGGTGCCCCCATAAGGAGGGGAGAGTGTGGCACTGGCTGGGTGCCCAGGGTGATCAGAGCCCAGCTGCAGGCAGCGGTGGACATTCTGCCTGGTGAGGCGGGAGCGCGCTCATGGGTAGATGCTCCAACAGGAAAGGAGGGACGGGACCCGAGGCCCCATCGCTATGGGGAGACAGAACAGGCTCCCCATCCTGAGTCCAATTTTAATTACTTTTCTCAACCTCACATTGTAGAGATAGAGTCGACCTCACAGTTGAGAACAGCGGTGCGAGCTGAGCACGTCCTGGAGCCAGGCTAAGTGCTCCCTCCGCCTGATGGCCTGCTTAATCCTCCTAGTGAACCTTGTGATTCCCGAGGCATCCTGTGCCCAAGGTCACACAGGGGTAATGCTAAGAGCCGATGTGCACTGAGCAGTTAGTGCCAGGCCCAAGCGTCCACTGCATGACCCTATGAAGCCGGGATGTTACTGACCACATTCAGTGAGGCGAGTGAGGCCCAGGGCAGCGAAGGGATTTCCACAAGGTTACTCAGCCATACCAGAGCCAAGATTTGAACCCAGACCATCTGGGTCCTCTGCTGCCTTTGAGAAGTTTAGGGGCTCTGCTGCACAGGATGGTACAGGTGACCTCACCCCATCTCCTCCCGCAGATGAAGTTCTCTCTGGAGAAACTACATCAAGGCATCACAGTCTCTGACCCCCCCTTCGATGGCCAGCCACACTCTGACGAGAGCTTCTCCTGAGATCCCCTGGCCACTCAGCCATTCCCCAAAGTGGACAGAAGGACACACAGAACTCCGGCGGCCACTGCTGGCACGGTGTGAGCGCCGGGAACCTCCCGCCCACCCTTCCCAGTGGCCTGACCAGGGGCCACACAGATGTGGGGACCACAGAAGCGAGATGCACTTTAGAACAGCGTGTGCGAGTCCAGCTGCCATCGCCTGTCCAGCCCGGGGGCTGGCCTGGGCTTTAGCAGCCTTCCACTAACTTATTTTGCTTGGCTGGGGTTTGGGGGGGGCACCTTCTGGGGTGCATGAATCCCTCAGCTCTGGTTTAATGTATTATATTTATTTGGGGCCGACAGAGCCCCAATAAAGGGTTGGAAATGGTTGTGGCTTTGCCTGTGGGGCCCCGGAAGTGGGTGGGGGCTTCCTGTCACACTCAGATCCCACAGTGGCGGGGAGGGGCAACTGTCCATTTTCTGGGCTTGTAGGCACTGAAGCCATCTGGACCCTTCCTCCCATCCCCTTCCCTTCCCTATCCTCCCCCTCCCACCACCCTGCCCCCCCCGCCCTGCCCCCAGGGCATTGTCAAAGACCAGAGCAGGGGCTCCCAGGACAGACTGGTGCCTGGTGGCCTGGATTTAAGTCCTGCCTCCTAGCAGCCACGGAACCTGGAGCAAGTTAACAACTCTGAGCCTCAGTTTCCTCTTCTGGACAATGGGCATAATATCAGCACCTGTCTGTCAGGGTGGTTACAAGTGAGTGGCTTTCAAACATAGCAGCATCAGAATCTCCTAGAAAGTTTGCTGTGAATCAATGCTGGGCCTCAGTCTTGGAGTTTCTTAGAGGTCAGACCTCTAATGAGCGCCACAACTTTGGGAACGGCAGTTATGAGAAGTCAAGGCGTGAATAAGCGTGGCTCCTTCTTAACAGAGCCTGGCACAGAGTAAGTATTCAATAAATGTTACACTTACTGCAGAAAAAAAACAACGTAGGGAGTGCCAAGTATGCACCAAACTGTGCTGAGATAGATGTTCATTTCATTCTCCCAAAGACTCCATGGGACGGAGACAAATTTCTACACCAGAGGAGGGCTCCATATTTACAAACAAGATGTGCAACAACCTTCGCAAGACCCCCAACGGCCCAGCCAGGTGGAGGATATTTGGACCCCTGCTGTACAGAGACCATGTTCCTGTGCAGATAGACCCTAGATCTGTCTCCCTCAAACCCTGTGCTGGGTCAGAGTGAGGGAGACCTGTCACGTTCCAGGCTGCAAGAACCATCCTCACTGATGGCTTGGGCAGGGGACTGGAGGAGGCATTGTAAAGAAGCAAGGTGGATCACAAGTAGCTTCTACGCTCAAGCTGTGTGACCATAGCCAGTTACCCATTCTGTACCTCAGTACATTCTGCACCCTATAAATTGGGTGTAGTGATAATAGCCACCTTGTGGCAAGAATTCAGTAAGTTAATACTAGCACAGTGCTCAGGCCTGCACCATATAGGTGCCCAGCGGACATCAGCTTGTAGGGCTGTTGGGAGGTGACCACTGTCCCTGTCCAGTGCTGAGGCTGTCCTCACTGTGCCTCCACCCACCATCCCCCACCAGAGGAAGGGCCAGGATCAGCAAGAAGGTTATTTTCTGCCAGGGAATTTCACAGCTCAGGAGGTGCTGGCGCAAAAGACCAGACCACAAAGGCGTCCAGTGTCCCTGGCTCCCTGCCACTCTGCCCTGGATCTACCCCCACACTCTGGATCCTCTGGCCCTACCAGGGGGATTCTGGAACTTTACCCCAACCGGAACTGGGAGCTGGCACCTGGCCAGTCAAGAGTCTCACTCCCACCCTGGTCTTGACATCCCAGAGTCCATATCCTCATTCCTTCCTACAAGGGGGCAAAACCACCAGACATTGCTGGGTCAGGATTCCAGATGCACTCCAGGCCAGCTGCATGACCCTGGGCAAAGGCGTGACCCTTCCCAGCCTCAGTTTCCTCATTTATAAAATGAAGATAACAGAACTTGGCTGTGAAAATTTGGGGAGGTAGAAGTGGGTTTGGGAATAAGGACCTAATGAGTATTTCTATCTACTTTTTCATTTGAGAAATATTTATGAAGCATCTGCAACGTGCCACGCAGAGTTCGGCATACTGGCCACAGTGGTGCACAGGACAGTGTTCTCACCCTGGGGGGGGGTCTTATATTCCATTGTTGGCAGGATAAGCACTGAACAGATAAAACTATATAAAAGACGAACATAAACCAGGTGTGATGGATGTTACACACCTGTAATCCCAACACTCAGGAGGACTGAGGTGGGAGGATCTCAGCTCAAGGCCAGCCTGGGAGACCCTGCCTCCAAAAAAAGGGAAAAAAAAAAAAGTAAGTTAGGTGGCCACAACTGCTTTGGAGAATAAAAAGTGGAAGGAGGTCAAGTAATGATGGAGACAGGCCACTTGCCCTGAATGGACACAGAGGACCTGGCAAAGGTGACATTGGAGCCAAGAGCTTCAGAAGGTGAGGGACTGAGCCCTCTGGTCACCTGGGGAAAATGAGGGGTCAGGACAGAGGGAGAAACTAGGGCAAAGACAGGAAGGAGCTCCTGTGCTGGGGGGGGTGCGGTGCAGGGGAGTGGACAGAGCGGAGTGGGAGGAGGGGGGTAGATGACGTCAGAGCCATGGAGATGGGAGGACGGTAGGGAATTGTCCTTCTGATCACGGCACCTCCAAACCCCCGAGCGGCTCCTCGGGTTTGGACTCCAGGGTACTCCTCGTGCATGTGTAATATAAACCCTAGCGCAACATTCCGCCCCGCCCCCGCCACCGCCCCCCCCCATACGCACATGGGTCCCTGCACAGTGACCTCCAGGTCTAGCTACCCAGAACCTCAGGGGTTCCTGGATATCCCAGCCAAGGACCCTCAACTCGTGAGAATGACCTCCATCATTTGAAGAAGGCAGCCTGTCCCCAAACTGCCCTCTAACTCCTCTTGGTGTCTGGGGTGACCTTTCCCAGACTCAGAAACTGAAAGATCCCCAGAGTCTGGCGGACTCCAAGACTCCCAGACCACCTGCCCCGGGGCCCATCTAACCGCGCGCGGTCCCTGCGCCACAGGAGAGGCCGGTGCACGGGCGCCTCCCGGGCCGCTGCGGCAAAGGCTGGGCGGCCGCGCCCTCCCCCCGCGGTGATTCATCCCGCCCCCTCCCTCCCCTCCCTCCTCCCTCCCCAGGCCGCCACCGCCGCTGCAGTGCGCAGGAGACCGCGGTCCGCGCCCAGCGCGCCGGGGCCGGAGCGGGCCGGGGTCGGGGCACCTGGCGGATGCGCCGGCTGCGCGCGCCAGCGCAGCAGCCCGAGCAGCGGCCGCCGCCCGCGCGGCGGGGATGCCCGGACGCCGGGCCCCGGGGCTGGGCCCCCGGCGGTAACCGGAGCGGGGGGGCCGCGCCCCCCCTCCTCCCCCCTCGCCGGTCCCAGAGCCGCAGCTGCTGCGCCCGCGCGCTCCTGGGGACATTCTAACCGCCGCCGGTCCCGCCGCCTCTCGCCCCGCTATTAATACCGGCCGGCGGCCCGGGAGCGGGGCGCGGCGTGCGCAGCGCGGCCATGGGGACGCTGCTGGCCTTGGTGGTCGGCGCGGCACTGGGTGAGTGCGCGGGGCGCGCGCGGCTGGGACCGCAGCGGGGGCGCTGGCGGGGCGGCGGGATTCGCGCTCGAGATTCCCGGCGACCGCGACCCGGCTGCCCCCTGCCTATCCCCCGGCCCCGCGAAGTCCGCTTCAGAAGTTGTGCGCACAGGGCGCGGGGCTCGTGAGGGTGGTGGAGGTGCCGGGGACAAGAGCGGGCGGGCGGGCGCAGGTCGGCACGGCCTCGAGGCTGCGGGCGCCCAGCTGGGGGCGAGGAAACGCGGAGTCAGCTGCTCCCAGAGCCCCGCAGGCTGCAATGTGACACCCACAGCCGCGGGAGGGGTTGAGGGAAGGAGGCGCCGGAGCCTGGGACAGGAGAGACCGAGTGACCGGGAGAGATGGAGACGGGAAGGAGGGACGAGAGACAGAGAAGGACTCCGTTGGGAGACTGGGAATGTGGGAGACAGAGACCTAGAAAGGGACAGTGGAGCGAGAAAGAGAGAGAGAGAAAGAGAGAAGAAGAAGAGAAGAGAGAGAGTTAAGAGTGTGAGAGAGAGAGAGAGAGAGAGAGAGAGAGAGAGAGAGAGAGAGAAAAGAAGAAGAAGAAGAAGAAGAGAAGAGAGAGAGTTAAGAGTGAGAGAGAGAGAGAGAGAGAGAAACTTGCGAGAGGCAGAAAGAGCTGGAGAGGTGAGGGAGGGAGATAGAGACAAGTAGGCCCAGGGAGAGAATGCTGGATGGAGCTTAAAGGTGGAGAGAGAAACCCAGAGCACAAAGTGGTGGGACCTTCAGAGAGACACCAGATAGGAATAAAGATGGGAGAGAGGGGGGCAGAGGAGCTGGGGGAAATTGAAAGAGACAGTGATGGGAGCAGGTGGCGGGGGAAGCGCTGAAGATTAAGAGAGGAGTTTGTGAACAGTTAAAGACCCAGAGCTGGAGCTGGAGACACCGCAGTAGCTGGTGATCCTGAGAGGCAGGAAGAAGATGGCAGGTGAAGTAAGGATCCAAAAAGCCTGTAGTCCAGTGATGGTGCAAAGGCCCTGAGGCAGGGAAGAGATTTTAGAAGCAACTAGGTGAGACAAAGATCTGGAGGTGAGGGAGCCTGAGGAGGATAGAGGGGAGGTTAGGGAAGATGGATCACCTAGGGGCTTGTGGGAGTAGGAAGAAGGGTGGAGTCAGGTCTGCTCCCCCCTTCCAAAACTTTCCCTTTTCTCAACCCATGGCTAGTTTTGCTGGCCAGTTTAAGTGTGACTCTGACACCTTGAACTTCTAAAGCAGCTGGAATTCTAGTCCCACCACCTAGATGCTTTGGTACCTTGACCAAGTGACCTTCAGAGAAAGGGGTCCTCAGGAAGCAAAGTCTGAATTCTGGCCATGTTGGGAGCTGTTTCCTGGGGCCGCCTATGTGCTCAGTTTCTGCCCAGTTGCGGGAAACAGGTGATCATTTCTTTCACATGACAGAGAGAGGGAAACTGAGGCTCAGAAGCAACGAGAGACTTGCCAGGGTCATGCAGCAGTGAGCAGGAGGCAGGGCCAGGCCTGGCATCCAGCTCCATCCATTTGTAATAACCACAGAGGGGAACAGATGGGTTTCCAGGGACCTACAAGTCAACAGCCAGTAAGGTTGGATCGCCTGGGTGATGGGTGCCTCGCTTGACCTGAGCCCACTGTCCCCACAGTGTCCTCAGCCCGGGGGGGCTGCGTGGAAGTGGACTCGGAGACTGAGGCCGTGTATGGGATGACCTTCAAAATTCTGTGCATCTCTTGCAAGCGGCGCAGTGAGACCAGCGCCGAGACCTTCACAGAGTGGACCTTCCGCCAGAAGGGCACAGAGGAGTTTGTGAAGGTGCGTGAGCAGGGGTCTGGATGGGGGAACAGGAGGGCTGGATGTCAAGGTGGAGGGGTTGTTTGCTGGTTTGTTTGTAATAATGTAGTTCTGATTGATGACCTGAATTAAATTCTGGCTACACCACTGGCCAGCTGGTGACCTTGGGCAAGTCTCGAGCCCCTCTGAGCCTCATTTTCCTCTTCTGAAAGATGGGGAGCGGTGTCTCTACTCTCTACTCCATAGGTTTGTGTGTGGGAGATGAATGAGTTAATGCAGTTGGTACGTGACTGGCTCAAAATAAATGTCACTGCAATTGTTTTGGCAGCAGCAAAAATTTCTCAATAGTCATCACGGCGCGAAAGCATAACTTTTCTTACGTCCTTCACACAGTGTATTTTGAATTGCATATGGCAGCTCACTGGCAACTTACCATCTTGCTGGAGACTTGGGGTCCCCAGCAGCTGGGGTCAGGCTGTCCTGTCCCCTGCCTGAGGAATGTGTCTGGTGGCTGGAGAAAAATTGCAGAGAATGAGGGCTGGGAAGGCCAAGTGGGGCTTGTGTGTGTCTTAGGGCTAGATGCAAAGGTAGGGTCTGGGATGGTCCAAGCTTGATGTCAGCCCCACTGTGCCCTCCCTGCCTTGAGGTCAAGATGCCTGCACCCACGTGTGCGCCATCTGTGCCTGTGCGGGTCAGGACAGGGAAAAGATCAGGGTCAGGTGTGGGGGAAACAGGCCCAGGCAATGACCTGTACCCCACTCCCTTGCCCCGGCCACCCCAAGATCCTGCGTTATGAGAACGAGGTGCTGCAGCTGGAGGAGGATGAGCGTTTCGAGGGCCGTGTAGTGTGGAATGGAAGCCGGGGCACCAAGGATCTGCAGGACCTGTCCATCTTCATCACCAATGTCACCTACAACCATTCGGGTGACTACGAGTGCCACGTCTACCGCCTGCTGTTCTTCGATAACTATGAGCACAACACCAGCGTCGTCAAGAAGATCCACCTTGAGGTGGTGGACAAAGGTGAGTTGGGCCCTGTCTGTCCCTTTGCCAGATGGAGGGACAGATGGCAGGTCAGGGACAGGCTGGCTCCATGCCTGGGCTGGCCAGCAGCTCTCAGGAGTAGGGGAAGCGGGTTTCCTCCCATTCCAGATCTGCCCCCATGGACACTGTGAGTGGAAAACCTGGCTTGTTACCTGTGCTCTGTCACCTCTGGCAGGCTCCTTTCTTGTCTCTGAGGCTCAGGGCTGTGCTGTGAGAGACCAGGATGATAATGGCATCTACCACCCGGGGTGTCATTTTAGCCATTCTTATGTCTTGGGAGGTCATGGGAACTGAGCACAATGCTGGGTACCAGCTGCTGTCACATGCCCGGCTCACAGCAGGGCCTCGGACATAAGAACCTCAGCAATGATTGTCAAGTGGTCTTTGCCTCTTCCCTCTGTCCTGGCCAAGTGTGTCACCCAGAGCCCAGCTCCCCGAATCCCACTGTGCACCCAGGCATCTTATCACCAGCACAGCCAGACATGGCAAACCTGGGAGGGGGTGCCCCATTTCTGACAGGCGTGTGCTGCAGGCCTAGGGGCCACACTGGGAGCAGCATTGGGAGGAGGGGTCTGCAGCCTTCCTGAGCCATCCCAGCATTTTGCCTGTCTTGGATCCCTGCTTTGAAGGACCTCCACCCCTTTCTGGCCCATCTTCTGATTGGCATAAATTGGAATTTTCCAAGGCCCTATGGTTCCTTGGCTTAGAGAATCAGGGAGCTATTCCAGGCCTGGAGCCAACAAAGAGCCCTGGCAAGCGCATCCCACGGGGCCTGCAGCACACAGAATCCTGGACAGTATGCGTTGCCCTGCTTTGCCGAGAGACAGGTGCTGGCCTTAGACATCCTGGGAAGGCCCTCACAGAACCTCCCAGCCACTTCCAGGGGAGAGACACTTCTTACTATCTCCATTTTACAGGTGAGGACACTAAGGTTCAGGAGGCTCGGAGCATGTGGCCAGTCTCATAACAGGGACCTAGATTTGAACCCAGCCCTGCCTAGGTGGTGGCCATTTCTGGTTTTGGTAGGGATCACTGTACAGGTGTCAGCCAGAGCCTGTGGGGTTCTTTGTAGAATTAGCACTTTTTTCTGTTTCTTACCACCGTAGCACAGAAAGAAGGCAATTCAGAAGGCGTGTCTGAGCCAGTGGGTAGAGTATATCACTGTGCTGGGTGGGTGGTCAGCCATCCCTGTCCTCACGAGTGAGGGGTCAAAGTAGAACCACTGTGACAAAGATGCCCAGACACTGGGCTCCACTAAACCTGGCTTTTTCCTCTCTCACCAACCAGGGCTGGGCGACTCTAGGGTGCTGTCACCCGGTTCTCTGTCTAATTACTGGGCACCTGCTCACGGTGCTCCTTGGCATATCGGAGGCCAACGAGCTCAGGCTGTCCGTGACCTGTGAGCCTAACTCCCTGTCACATCGTCTAACGTCTTATGCCACCTCCAGAGATGAATTTCGAGCAATATTTATCACAGTGCAAAGCTCCTTCTGCTGCCTTCCAGAGTCTGTGTTTTCAGCATTACCTCTTATAACCTAGTGTTTTCTATCCACCACAGGAGAGTAGATGGATAGATAGACAGATAGATAGATTGACAGATAGATAGATAGATAGATAGATAGATAGATAGATAGATAGATAATAGATAGATAGATCCTTTTTAGCAGTACCCACCATAGTATTTTATTTATTTATTTTGGGGTTTTTTTGTTATTGGTGGTGGTGGTGGTGGTGTTTTTTCAGTACTTGGGGATGAAACCCAGGGCCTAGCACGTGCTAGGCAAGTCTTCTACCACTGAGCCCCACTCCAAACACTAGGAGGTTTTTCAAGACAGGGTCTCACTGTGGAGCCCAGGCTAGCCTCAAAATGGCAGTCCACCTGCCTTTGCCTCCCCAGTGCTGGGATTACAGGTGTACACCACCAACCACATCCATGATATTTAGGATATTACTCTTATCCACTGTGTTACTGCATTTTCTGCCTCACACGTCAGTCTGTGCTACCTCCTGCTGGTGATCCTTAAGGTTGGACTGAGTCGTGTCCAAAAGGGGCAAACTGGTGTGAGTGGTGTGGATACCCCGACCGAGAGGTGTAAAAATGTAGGAAGTAGCTGGGGTGGACCAACGGAGGTGGGGAAGACAGATGGGGACAATCATGATACACAGTAGCAGTGTTGAGGCTGAGGAGCCATGCCACCTGCAG